TGGATAGGGTTTTTTTGTATTCCCCCTAAGTTTTGAAGAAAAGCACCTGGATATACTTTCATGTAAAAGAAATAGAATGTTGAGAGTCAGAATGTAAGCTGTCAGGGGGGAAGAATTACTGGAGTGTCTTGTTAATGGCAAGGAAAAAAAGTGAACTGTTAACCTTAACAATTCACCTGACCTTACTAATAGCTACTGGGCATCTGATAACAGCAATAGACTTGTCAGAACTGTACAGGATTCTGAATGCCTGAAGTTGCCCTATATTTGAAATGACTTTTAATTGAGCTATCAAAATAAAATAAAAAAGACTCACCTTTTATTTTAGTAGTTTCTCCAGCCAAACTATAAAACATAGCCAATGATAAAAGCATTTTAAATAGTTTCACTGTGGAAATGAACCAAAACAGGTCTTGCTCAAGTTAAATGCATAGGAAAAAAATTAATTTCAACTACATTCTGAAGGAAGAGATACTCCCCACAGAGGGTCTGTTTACTAGTTTGTTGTGTAAGAGAGCCCTCCTGGCCATTACAGGGCTGAATTATTCTCCCAGTTGCTGTCAATGATAAAACTGTTGATTTTAATATGATGAAATACTGTCTGTTAATTCTGCGCAGCTGCACTGTCTTGCAAATCTTTGCATGTGGAGTGAGCACATCTGGTTGCTAATATTAGTTGTAAACAGTTTGATCTGAGGTGTTTGTTTTGTATATGGCTGGTCAAGAGCTCACTTTTTAATGGCAACCATGAATGAGGGAAGAACAAGCTTTCATGTACTTTAAAGGAATAGTTAAACTGTTTTGACTGATAAGATCTGTTGATCTCATAAAAGCTATTTCTGATTGTAGACTGCTGCAAGTGAGATCAGAATAAGTAATGTATTAGAAAAATAACCTTTCATCAGTTTTGTAGGGAATGTGTTTGGAAGAATGGCAGACCGCAGTGAAAAACATGTAGTAGTTTATATGGGAAAAACATTGCCTTTGCTTGCTTTACTTTATATAAAATATTAAATGTTATCCTCTCAAACTTCTTAAAGTATCTAACTGAAACTCAGTATGATTATGGTGAACTTCTCCTTAGCACTAAACTTAGCAATACATAAATATTTAAAAAGATGAGTCTAGTCGCATGCCTAACTTAGCTTTTTTTTTTTTAATTGGCTTATTATACATGAACTACACCAACTTCAAGAATAACCCTTTTACTAGTTGCAACCACTAAATACATGTAACAATCATATGCAAGCATTTTTCATCTGTATTATGTATTTGATGTTAATGAACGCTTAAAAATTTAATGCATTTATTAATTTGCTTATGGGAATAGTGCTGAATGATCTGAAGGGGAACTGCTATGTTATTTTCTGTTTCTCTCTTCTGCAGCTTAGCGTAGGAGTTGTATTAGCATGACTCAGGAACAGTTACGTTTCATGTTGTTGTCCTTCCTCATCAGCCAGGTCTGCAAAAGGGCAATAGCCGGGGGAGGGAGACTGAAGTGAGCAAACCAATTGCTGACTTTTAAAGTTCCCATCTAGGATTCTGCATCAGTATTGCTTTGTAAAGAACCCTGATCTTGAAAAGGGAAGTTTCATATTTAGCAATTTTGCTTTGAAATTTTTGTTGCAGAAACTCTCACTAATAAAATATTATACTGCTCATGCCACAGCTGTACTGAATTCCTGATATAACAAATATTTGTTCTCTGTGTTTGTGTGAGATTTGGTGAGAAAAATCTGCTGAAAGACCATAATGAAATGTCCATCTCCCCGTTTCATGAGGATGGTGAATTAGTTGCTATTTACTTTAGAAATCCCAGAGGTGGCAGCACATCCATCATGTTAGGTATTATATGAATACAGAGGCCTTCGTCACATTGCACTTGGCATCTAAAGTCTCAGCTTTCCAAATGTATATGTGTTTGCTTAGCTTAACTACTACAAGTAATGCCACAGTTATTGGTACCTAATATTAAACAAAATACAATGATAGGTCAGATCACACAGAAAATGTTCAGAGCAGATGGACAAGCAAGCAATAAAAAGCCTCCAGTTAATGTTAGCTATATGTTAAACCTACATTGCATAGTCATTCTTTTGTCTCGATTTGAAATTCGATTAATATGTTGTCCCAAAATAGATCAGTCTAATTCAAATATTCAGAATATTTGCCTTTAATTGCTGTTTTTCTCTTTATTAATCTCTTACCAAAAATAAATAAATAAATGAGAAAGTTCACGAAGGTCAAAATGTGTAAGCAGTTATAACTAAAATTTGAGCTTACCTGAAAAAAATATAACTGCAGTTAACAGAGATACAAACAGATATCAGATATGAACAATGCAACCCATGGCATGGTCTCATAATCTCTGATATTAACACTTAAGCCACAAATCTTCTTTGTGTTTCTGGATTAAATACATCTTACTGTATTTCCCTACATTGGCATAAGCGCTAATTCCACATTCAGCTCAAAACTGCTGAGAGCAATAAAAATTTCAGTAGTGATGCTTAATGTCAAAACTGATACTCATCTGGAAGACAGTGCATTGTGAATGATTCGTGGAATTCTGGTTGGTTATCTTCCATAAATATTGATATAAAGCTCATGATATTTCTGTATACTTGAGGTCTTGGTTGTTTGTTTCTTTTGTAACTTGTTAGGCAAACCCAATTAGTTTGTGTTTCTTTAGGTTTTGTCAGTCATTTAAACCTGTGCTTTCAGCAGTTTATCTTTCTGTTTAGATGTCTATGTCTCCCTCTTCTCCATGATCAGAAATGGTCATTTCTGATTTTGGGAATGTTACTATGGGCTTAAAAATTCAGTGACATTTACCAGATTCCCCAGCTGTGGCAGAAGCTTAATTTGATTCTTACACTTTCGAAGGCAGTAATATGAATTAGCATGAGGTACAAGTGCCTGGGAAAACAGGATTTATGGAAGTTATTGTTCATGGAGAGATTGGTCTGCTGCTGGGATTTACTGAATACAGCAAAGATACCTTCATCTTTCTTGGACTTTGAATCAGAGCGAGATAGCTGAGAGGAAAGGGGAGGGGAAATGACTCTACTGCTTTTGAGATATCTTTTGCTATCTCAGATCCCGGTCATCTGGTGGAAGTAAGTAAATAAGAAACGTAGGGCAGCCCTGTGCCCTTTTGGAGAAGTACCCGCAGGCAAGGCAGCGTACCTCGGCGCATCTAGAAGTGTACTCAACGCAGTTCCACCCAAGGCCTGGCCCCAAATCTGTATCAAGAAGTACCAGGCTGCTTACATTGATAATGCCTTTGGAGCTACCTGTTTCAAACCTACACAAATATTAAGAAGCCTGCATGGATGAAACAAACTCAGCCGCTTTCCACTTCACCGTGGGCAGCAGTGAGCTGTGGTCTCTGTTCGTTGAGCTGCGTCCACACTTGCAGCTGTTATTTCCTGTGTTTATGCAGGATTCCCAAACTATATATAATGCACCCTGGCCTGCTCACAAACTTTGCAGCAGTTATACCTCTACCTCTTACAGTGTGTGGTGTATAAATGTCAGATATCTGGTATTACCAACATTCCTCTTAAATTCTCATCTGACCTTACCTATTTTTTTCTTGTACATTTAAGCCTGTGGTTGCCGTTTTGGGGTTTTTTTCCTTTTTGCTCACATATTCATTCACCTTTCTGTCTGTCACATCTAGTATCCGTAATGTCCAAAAATCATTCTTCTTTCTCTGTATGCATTTTCTGCAATTGTCACATTTCCAGGGAAGAACACACCCTCTATTTAAAGTCATCAAAGATGTTGCATGAAAGACATCAATTCTAGCAATAGAAGTTTCTGCTTTGTTATTACAAAACCTTGGTCTCCTAGCTGGAGAATTGTAATAGTAGAGAATATTGACAGCAGATGTGTGTGGTGTTTTTATTTACATACTGTTGTATTCAAGATGGCACATCATATTTCAGAGTCAGTAGTAAATTTCTAATGAGACTTAATTATTGGTAGAGCTGCAAAGTTTCTTGCAGGAGTACAGCTTGAGCACATTGACTACAGTAAACACGTTTTGAAGTTTTTGTAAAATCAAAAACTTCAGAGTTACTATATGGAAAGCATCTGTGGTTTGGCAAATTTAAGTTCCTTTTGAAACTGTTAAGACTTGAAAATTATACATACCTCTGTGCATCATGTTACACAGAAAATTGTGTACTTTAGAGAAAAAAGGGAGTTTGTTCGTTCTTACTAGCATTATTTTTGGCATATACATGTACATGGTGTGACTTAAACCAATGTACCTCAATGTGAAAATCAAGCAATTAAAAATTGATTAAATTACTATATAAATGTGGTTTGGGCAAGATTATTGTACCTTTCATAACTGTATAGTAGAAGGCAAGCAAAACTGTACAGAAGAACGTAAAGTTTTTCATTAAAACCTTACTTGGTAAAAATATGATTGCTAGTAGAAATCCTTTGAATATGAGCCTTGTTTTTATGTGAGTTGGAGACTAGTTCCTTTAAATCTCTGAAGTTACTGTACCAAGCAGCTCTGAGTGCATAATCAGGTCTTTTTAATTTATCTTGCATCACTATATCAAAGTTTTAATAGCATAGTCCAAACCATTGACTCATGTTGATTCATGGGAAGTATCTTATATCAGTTGGGGTTTTTTGCATTGTTTTCATTATTTTCCAAAAGAGATGATATTACCAACATGACAATTCCCCAGTAGAAAAAGGTACTTCTAATTTACAGACTTGTATAGGATCAAGATAAATAAAATGTTTTTTTTTTTTTAAAGCTGCTTATGATAACTCTCATATTTGTGTAATTAGTTTTTAATTTTTGTTGTTCTCTTGATTAGAAATAGCTGTATGAAGATTTGTTATTTATCAACTATTGAAAGGGTTGTTTTTCCAAAATATTATTTGGAAATAATTGGAAAATAAGATTACTTGAGTTAATCAGGCCTTTCAATGCATAACTCATTTCTCACAATTTACAATCTTCCTAGTTTCTTGGCAGTACGGAAGTAGAGCAGCCCAAAGGCACAGAAGTTGTAAGAGATGCTGTTAGAAAATTAAAGGTAAGAAAGAATTTTTAATGAAATATAAATGGAATGTATTATTAACCTTTTCTCACAGATAAGATGCTTTGTAAGTGTTTCCATGTAAATTCATTGGTTCTAGAAGCAGTTGCTTTTATTAATTTCTTCACTGTTGTGTAGGGCCTTCCCTGTTACGTCCATATTATCAGATGTTCTGCTGTACAAATATTTAGTTGTCTCCTAGATTATACAATTATTTATAGTATAAAGTTTACGTACCTTAATGTGTAATGCTTGTTCTTTGGAAACTTTAGGGCTTTGTTAATACAAACTTAGGTAGCAACAATTTGTTTTAGCTGCCATCCTCACTTTACGGCTATTGAATACCTCTAATTATGGCACTTCAAACGTGTTGTCAGAGAATTAAAGAAAATGAACTCTTCCTTGACTGAAAAACTAGTAACTTCAGTCCTGCCTGTCCTGCATTTCTCTGGGCTGTGCGTTGCTTCCTGCAAGTTGCCTCTTATTGCAAAGCATAGAGTACCCACCCTCATAAGGTAAGCTGTTGGTGCTGGAGCAGTAAGAGTGTCAAACCACACTGTAATCGGGCTGTGATAGCTCTGTGGGTACTGGCTGTCCCTGACTGCTCATCGAAAGCTAATCGGTCTGATCCACGTAAACTGACGCTTAGACTGGAGGTGGAGGTTTGTGATGCTGGCATGAATGCTGTTCCCCCGATATATCTGGAAATAGAGCTGTAGCGAGAGAACAGGGTTTACAAACTAAGCCTGCTTATGACAAGGGACGTTACTGTCTTGTCCTCCAGGTCTTCATGTTTCTTTGGAAAAGGACTGTGCACGCAAACCCCATCTATGTGCTGGTGCACATAGATGGCTGAAAAAATCAGATCTTGCTGTGTTTTAACCCAGCTGGCAGGTAAAACAACCACACAGCCGTTCACATACTAGAGCTATTGGATCATTTATTTAGATGTAAAAATTGTTCTGCATACTATTGTAGTTTTTCATAACTTTTCATAGAGTTTTCATTATTCATTTAAACATAAGTTCCTCAGAAATGGACAGAAAATTTTGGGAATCAATCTTTTAAAAATTTGATTCTGTGTTATAGCTATAATACAAAAGGAAGAAAGGCATGAAACTCTATTTATGTAGCTCAGCTTTTAAGACTGAGGTTTCTCTTGAAAAAGCCATCTTTCCAAGATTGATTAGCAGTTGTGTTAAGGTAATGAAACAGAAGGTCTTTGCCATTATTTTTGCTCTACCAAAATAGTACAACTGCCTTTAAAGATTCACTTAGTCAATTCCTAGAACGTTTTATGCCAAAAAGATTTACTCTGCTGTGGTTCATCAGAGACATTATTGCCTAGTTGTTTTCAAGTGTTTTAGGCTAATGTAAGTGTGACCGTTTTTTAATCATTGCAGCATGCTGCCAGTGGAAACAAAATGTATGGTTTTGTGTGCACCGTGTACAGTTTACGGCTAATACTGGAATGAAGCCTGTTGTATTAGATGTTTTGTATTTATAAAATTCCATTACCCTGAACAAAGTTAATTCTGTGCAGAAATCTGTCAAGATAATATCCTACTATGGAGAAGTTTTCATAGAAACATAGAATCGCTGCTAAATATCTCTGTCTCACTGGAAATCCAGGCTAACCTGGGCTGTCATTGATCCCTGGAGGCTTTTGGTGGGTTGGATTGTATCATTTGTACCTTGAAATAGTTTGCTTTGAAAGAAGGTCCATAAAGGGTTTCAAATAACTGTTCTCTGAAGTGTAGGAAGAGCCAGAACTATTTTCCTGTTTTGGGGAAAAAAACATTTGTCAGCCTAGCACTAAAATTTAAAAATAGAGATTATTTTTTTTCATATATATATATATACACACACACACACACACTTGTGGTGTCATTGGAGTATGTAGATATCTGTTCTAACTTTTTTACATGTGTTCCCTAAATAAACCACCTTGGAGATATGTATCCAAATCGTTACTGCCAGAATCACACTATTTTGTACAAGCTTGGAAGTTTGGAGCAGTGAAAAGAGCTTGGAAATTAATGTCTTACATTGAAAGAAAAAATATATAGTGTTTTTTAGAGTAGGAGAGTTAAAAGATGTGTGTAGATGTCTGATGCTATATTTATATTTTTTATTATATTGATTTGGTTTTAATCACAATGTTGTTAATCATAATTTTTTAATGAAAATTAATAGCTACCAGAAAAACAGCTGACTCTTTCTTAATATTTGGAGCTATTTTTGCAACTGGCATGCATCGCACTAATAACCTTTTGAAGTCATGTGCTTACAGTGATACCTAGACCATGAAATGCTGTCACTGTAAACTATTTTTCTTAAGCCATCATGTCGTCAAATTATTTCAGAGTAGACATTTGATATACAACTCTTCGTGTCTTTAAATCAAAAGCTCTTAACTCATACGACACACAGACTTTTTGCTTGCCAAACATGGATTTGTGCAAGACTGTAGCATGCCACTCCATGAACGAACTTTTACCAGCAGGTGGAGCTGATGTTCTACAGTAAAATACAATAATGTGGAGGAAAATTTTGATGCTTCGTTGTACTTGTGTTATCCCAAATACTACTATTACTGTATTTTCTAAACACTTGACCATTTTGCTGGGTCAGTTGCAATTTGGATATACAGGTTTATTCAAGCATCTATAGGTAATATTTCTAGGGAGTTGTCCAGTGGTTTTATCTAGTGGGGATTTCCCCTTGTGTTTTCAAATTTGGAGTTGGACCTGTACTACAGGAGAAAGAAGAAAGTTGGACACTAATGTTTTAAAATGTGTATTTTTGTTTCTAAGATAAGGTGAGCTGTTATCATAATTTATTACAAACAATTTTTTCCTTCCAGTTTTCTAGTCAAACTTATTTCTAGAATGAAATAAAAACTAAGGAAAATGTTACCAAGATGTTGTATCAGAACATACTTACATTACTCAAATGTGTAAATGTTGTCAAATCACACTTTATTTTATAAAGTGCATAGATTACTTTCCTTGATTAATGCAGGATATAATTTCTAAATCAGACAGTAGAAATTAATTTGGTCCTTCTAAAAAAGTACTTGAGGGGCTGCCAGAGGTGAGAACAGGCAGAAGGATGAACATAACAGATGGAAAGGGCAGCATCACCAGACCACTAGTAAGAAAATGGCATGGAGGGGTGTTAGGGAGAAACCAGATGTAAGCACCTGGGTTGTGGGCTGTTCCTTTTACAGTCTTCCAAGAGATGTTTTTGTGAGGACCAAACTTAAGGCTATTCCCTTACCCAACTTCCAACTCTCTCTCCTTTTCTCCTCCTCTTTCCTTCTGTGAGTGGAGATGAACAGAAAATGTGAATAGAAGTAATCACTTTGAAGCCCCTTGAAATATTCTCCATCAACACCTTGACCCATAAGGATACACAAAGTGAAGTGTGCTTTTCACACACTTCCCACGCATGCCGTGATGCTGTCCTGCTGCTGCCCTTAATGAGCCATCAGTGGATATTGTTCTGAGCTCCCTTTTGTGGTAAAGCTGGTTTTTATTTGTTGTTGAAAGGTCAGAGGAGGGTGGAGAACAGCAAATCTTTAATACTGGGGTAAAGAGGTTTCCAGTCAAGCCTTAGAGCCATGACTGTTCTCTTTGAAGTACTGGAGAAAACAGAATGTGTGGTTCGGGACCAGCCGGGGACAGCCTGAAGACCAAAGCAGATCAGAGAAGAGTTGAAGAAGAGAATACCTGTTTATCCTCTCAAACAAAACCCACCACAAACAAACAAAACCAACACCACACCACCAAAAAAACCCCAAGAACCCCCCAAACCCTCATACCACCAAACAAAACAACAACAAAAAAAACCCCAGCTGAAAACAACAACAACAAAAAAGCCCCAACACCCTCCAAAAACAACAAAACAAAGAAACGAAAACCTTCAGGGGGTGAAAAAATAGGAAAAAGACTATACTGCATTGCCTTTTACACTGTGATTAATAGATCAATAGCCTTCCTCTCAGTCCAGTGTGTGTTTGGAAAATAAAATACAACATATTCCATAGAAATGAATTTCTGAGACAGCTTTTTAACTACCTACTTGATCATGGAGAGATTCAGGTTCGCATATCTGGCCTTTTCATCCTTTTCCTCTTCTTGACAGCTATTTTTCAGAGGTTATGATTTCATTATACCCACCTAAAAAGTGCATGAGAGTTTGGACCACAGTATGACCCAAAAGATGATACGTAGTCACTGCAAAAGAAATAGGGCTTTTTTGTTTTGTTTCCAGGCATCTTTCCTTGTAATGAATGTTTTTTATGAAAAAAATAGAGGAAAAGCATCTTCTCAAAGCTAGGTATAAAGCTGTCTCTCAGCTTAGACAACTGCATTGCCCTCAAACAGATGTCTTTTAAGGTGTCCACATGAATTGCAATGTCTGATGTCTTACTGGAAGCCTGAGTAAAATGGAAGAGTTGAACCTTTATTCCCTGGGCTGAAGATTAGCACCCACATCGCAGAAACATCTGCCTTCATTTCAAATTTTTTTTAATAAACTCTTTAATTGTGCAGTGAGCTGTAAATATTAAGTAAAACCACATAGTTTTGATTTGCATAGCTTAAATTGATTTGGATAGAATTTGTTTTAACCATTATTTCCTTAACTAAAGCTACCAAGTATTTTTAAAACATGATTTTTTTCCTTCATGGTATTTTTGCTGATTGATTCTCTGATTGTGGTTTGCTAAGACTTGATGCATAAGCATTTCAAATGTAATTTTAATAAGAATCTCAAAGTTTGCAATTTTCCCTGCTACTGTAATAAAATACAAGATATATAGAAGTTTTTTCTTCTTTATTTTTAAAGTTAAATTAAACCATAGAAAATATATTTATTTGTATCTGTTGCTTTCCGTAAGAGATTCAAGGAAAATATGATGTTAATTCCAAAGCAGTTAAATAAAAGCTAGCCCATCCCACTGAGCTGCTCATATTATTATTGGGCCAAATCTGGGTGTCTTGCCTAGAACAATATATGCATAAACTAACAGCTTAAGAATTTGGCCCATCATATCTCTTCCCAAGCCATGCTGTGAATCATTTTAATTTTATATCATTGTCCATTTTGATGTCAATGGGAGGCTACAGATTTTTACTTAAATAATCATATTACTGTGTGAGCTACAAATATTACTTTGTTTCAAATTAGTTCTGAAAGAAGAAAATAATGTTTGTAAATCTCCCCTGTCCAGAGGTCTCTCAGGGTCCTCTGTAGGTGTAAGGAATGAGTAAGAAAAAATAGAGAGAATTAAAAAAAGCAGACTGTCTGATACCCGAGTAAGTGTTAGGATCTGCTGTTCAAACCCTGCGCAAGTTTGGGATGTGGCTGAACTTGGCTTTCTAGAGAAGGTCAGCTACGAAAGAAATTACTGATCAGTATTTATTTGTATGTTACCTGTTATTACAGAGAACAGGGACTGGGCAGGGAAAGCATTAAGAAAGTAACTGTACCAGATTTTCTCAATCTATCTACGTGTACTTTTTCAGTCACAGTTTCTCAGTAATCCTTTGATTAAAAAGCTTGTTTGTCTCTCTGGGTGGCTGTGTTGAAAAGATTCTTTTGTGTTTTTCTTTCACCATTAGCTTGTTTTTGATTTGCTGGAGTCTCTTATTAAGTGGCTTTCCAGTTCTCTGCTAACTTCTGCAAATATCATGTGATCTTTCTCCATTTTGTTAACATCCTTCTGCATTTGAAAACCTCAGAACATAAAATTTGAGTAGTTTCTCACAAGTAACTGATGCAATGCACCCATTGTTATCTTCTTAAGGATCTTTTTGAAATATCCAAGGATTGCATTAATCTTCCCAATTGTAGTTTCATAAGAAGGTCCACAGTTAGTGGCAAGCCTACCATGACATCAAGACTTGACTCCATCTTCACAGAGTAGTCGCCCAAGAAAATAAGTTTGTTCCCGTATGTATGATTTGCAAAGTTGGTAGAGCAACAGAGATTGTTTGCATATGGGCAATCTGTGGTGTTCTGGTTGGTGAGGTATTCTCTGTGTTATTTGCCCCTCTATCAGTTCGTGATCTCCAAGCTTCCCCTGTAATGATTTTAGATCTCAGGTCATTAGTTACTTTTCTCCCCAGTTTTTCCTCTTATTTTTTCTGCCTGCAGATTTTATCAGTAATTATTTTCCTCCTGGTCATTGTTCAATAATGTCATGCTTAAGAAATAAACCCTTCTGGAATACATTAGAAACATATCTTCCCAATGACAATTTCCTGTTTATAACTGCATCTGGAGACTAATGTAACTAACTTAACTAATACTTTCTTTGTATTGCTTCATTTCCTAAATATAATGGCATGCAAAACTCAGTCAAATGCTTTGTCTATTTTAATGAGCTGTATTTTTTGTAAAATCCATATTGATCATCATTAATTTCATCTCACTTGAATTCTGTAGTGCTTGAACTTGATTTATGCCTTTCGAGAGTGGAGACGTGGTAGGGTCATTTTGTTTACCATTTTTTAGTATTGGCACAGAATTCTGAAACTTCCTTAGTGTTGTAAGACTTCTTGACTACTTGGAGCAAGCTTTGGCCAGCTGTTCTAAAACTCATGCAAGTTATTCAGATCTACTTATTTTAAAAAGTCTTTATGTTGTGGCTGTTGTTCAGGACTCTGAGATTATTACAGTTGGAAAACAAGCATTTCATCATCATTCTCAACATACACTATGGGGTTTAATTAGTGATTTTCATTAATGAAAAAATATTTTTTTCCTTTAGCCATTTTGAGTAGCCCTAGAAAGTCAAGAAATGTTGTTGGCCAAAATGCCTGTAAACCAGTGATTAGGTTTTTTGATTTTATTTTCTATAAAATGTTTTGGGGTTTTTTGTTTGTTTTGGTTTTTTAATGCATATGAGATGACCCACCTTAATTAAAATAAAGGGATGGGGATATTCATTAAACTGTACTAAAAGTATACTCTAAATATGTGAGAAATGGACTTGAAGATAAATAGGACAGGAAAAGCATGTGTATATTGCAAGAGCTACACACATGATATTGAAGAGAGGCAGAACTAGAAGTTATGTTAAATTTGCTTGACTTTTGACTAGTTGATTTTCACTAGTAAGTCATCATGTACAAACCTTCATAAAATATTTGGCCAATGACTGTAGCAATCGTAGTGCTGAAATGTAAAATGTGTATTTGGGTTTAAGAGTTGGTTTTGAGAATGTCATAGAGAGGCTTAGGTGGGGGGGGGGTTGTTAGGTTTTTTGGTGTAGCGGGTTTTTGGGTTTTGGGTTTTTTTAACCTAGTGAACTGTGTGCTACTTATCAGCTAATATGATACATTAATCAGTAATAAACTGGATAGGTCATGTAGTAACATTAATGTATGAAGTCAAAAGTATGAAGTCAAAACGGTTAAGTTTAGTTACAAAAAATTTCACTAAGTGCTTTCGAAATGATGAATAAAATTGGGAGGAAGGGAAAAATAGGTTAATTATGTGCTTTTAGGGTGGTTCTTAAAACTGGTTAGTAATTTGCCATAAATAGAGCTGCCCACAAGCAAAATGAAATAAAATAGATGGAGACAGTCATACTGTGTAAAGCAAATGAGTTCATGGAAAGATTTCCCGAGTAATGGTTGGCATAGGGATAAGGACAGAGCAAAAACCCAAACCCTCAACTATCACTTAAATAATTAATTAAAATCAGGGGTTTAGGTATTTGGGGGGAAGCCAAGGCTTCCAGGCTGTCACAGACTTGAGAGGGAAAGGGCTGGTAGCAGAGCAAAAGATAGAGCAATTCCATATCTTTGCTAAGAAAGTTACCCAAATTCATGACACTTCTTAACTGCCATGCAGCAGCAGATTTTACATACTCTGCTTATTTTATATGCAGTGTTCAGGAGAGAAAGACAAGTCAGATCTAGCAGCTAGAAAAGGAGACATAAAAGGACAGAAAATGTTTCGAATAGGACATGTTACCTGACCCAGTCATATGAAGTGTTGTCTAGCCATCATCTAGTGAGCTGTTAGCAAATAAATCCTGAGAATATGGTAGAAGAGATCAAGTATTTCTTAGGTGTTGAAAGCTGTAGTGCTCTTAGACTGAACCTGTTTACAAGAACTGATTTCCTTAGAAGAACGGATGGGAACTACCCTCTGTGCTTGTGTACAGAAGTGAGTGTAGAAATAGCAAGATGTGGAAAACATAACGATGTTCACTGCTGAACAACCAAGTAGGTGACAAACTGAAAGTGTTCATGTTTCTATTGTTCTCCTAGAAATTTCATGCAAAAGCTTAAATTAAGTGCATAAGCAGCAGATAAGTTTCAAGAGAACCAGTTAAGTAATTTGAAAATATTTTTTCTTGAATTATAGAAATATTCTGTAGTGTGCAATCAGAAATCCTGTTCTGTCTGAACTTTGACTTTGGAATGGTTGATGTTTATAAGAGCTTTTTGAAGAAGGAAGGAGACAGCTTCAGGTGGAAGGAGTTGAGAGGAAATAAGAAGTAATAAAAAAAAAAACCCAACTTATGGTTAATGTGATTGCTGTTGTGTTTTTCATCTTGTAGTTTGCAAGACATATCAAGAAATCTGAAGGCCAGAAGACACCCAAAGTTGAATTACAAATCTCAATCTATGGTGTAAAAATTCTAGATCCAAAAACAAAGGTAAGAGACTGATATGTTTATGGTGCTAAACTAGTAATTAAATATTGTTTAACTGTTTTTAATGTTTTTATTGGTTTATATTTTAAAAAAGTATTATAATGAAAGCCAGCCTGTTGATGGAAATTTTTTCTAAAATACCATTTCTTGTTACAACACATGGGTGACATCTTCCCAGGAAGGTGCACGATAGTCCAAAATACAGACTGTAGCTAAAGTGAGATTTAATTTTTTTTAATCCTTTCACACCAGAACTTTTAAACTCTGAGGAAGATGAAAACACTGTGGTAAAAAAATGTGAATCGCATATGATAAACACTTTTCCAAATGTTCACTGTTGTGTAGGTGTCTGCAGGTGAATGAGGAGACAATTTGTTTGCAGTGACTCTTTCTTCATGCTGCTGCCTTGGAATTGCACCTCTCTTTTTCCTTAACCTGTTTTTTTCCTCCTTTTCTTGTGTTTTAAATTTTTTTTATTGTATCCCTCCTCCCTAGAATGCTTGTGTTTCTCAGGTGTGTATCCATTTCTCACGGAGCAGGCCATAAGCACTAGTGTAGGCTTTTCATCTGGCCCAGCATGACAATGCCTGCCTTTTCAGCAGTTGAGTCCATTGACTCATCCCGTGGATGGATTTTCTGTTTCTTTGTTTGCTCTAATATATTGGAAGGGGTTACATAGTAAGCAAAACATCCTCCTCACGGACTTCAAAGAGGAATAATGAGATAGATGTAATCAAGCTAAAAAGTATTTATTTGATAGTCAGCAATTCTTAACATCTGAGTGCTCTTAAATCTTTTATACATATGTTGAATGTTGGGTTTGAATGAACTGATTGTTACTGCTGCTTCATTCTGGCGTAATTGCTACCATTCAGGCAGCGAATCCTGCCTTTTGAGAAAAGGTAGCTTTTGTTCAAGGCTGTATCTACTTGCAACCCATTTTTGCTTCAGACACTTGATACAACCACAAGTCAACAGTTCATAAGCAGAGGGGGCAAGAAATATCCTTGTCAACTTCAATTGCAGTTTTTGCATCATCTTTACATCATAGAGCAGAAAGGGGTACTAAACCCCATACACTGGCAAAAACTGTTCTAAAATAACAGTTTTAAATGCCAAAATATGTTAGTCTTCCTAACTCTTCTTGCAGAGATTAACAGAAAGCTGTGGGACAGAAGTTCCTCGGGAAATAGGAACATTCTAATCTCTTAGCAATGTTGTCGTTACAACTCAAATGATGAGCAACTATGAGTAGTCTTTTCATCTCCCCCATTTTGTTCCTTAAAGCTACATGTAAATGTAATTCTGAATCAAGTTTTCCTTCTTTTTGCACAATTTGTAGATGCTTTAGGAAGTGACTTAAATTCTGTATTATCATCGCTGATTACAATCATCTTTTCTGTGTGTTTTTGAAACAGATCTCTTCAGTATTGTTACAGAGAAATATTGGTTTGTATTCATGGGATGACTGTTAATTGTGGTAGGAACAGGAGGCCTGCTTATGTATCAGGACTTGATTCTATACTTGGCACTCAAAAATGGATTATAGAAAAGTGATTTTGTTGTTAAATGATATAAGGTAGTTACATGGATCTATAAACCTAAAAGAGCCAAAACAAGCATATGTTGTTATATGTAACTGTTAGAGTTACAACAGAAAGAGGTTAAGTGTGAGAGAGATATGGGGGCATGGGAGAAACAGGATACACAGAAGAACGGCTGTAAATACTGAGAAAAGGAACCCAGTTGGGGCAAGGGGCAAAGATTGCCCGTATGCTACATTTTTTTTTGATAAATGATTGTGTGCAGAGAGAGCATGCCCTTGTTTATGAGCTTATAGCAATCTGGGAAACCCGGTGCTGCACAGAAACTTGCTTTTTTGATAGATAATAGTTCACATCTAAACTGCATATTTTCCTTTAAAACAAATACTGTTTCCCATGTAATAAGCCAAATAAAATAAAATACCAAGAAGAGACTTGTTGAGGAAAAACAACAAAAAAAATAGTTGAGTTTATTTCAGTCTTGTCAAGCTCTGTCAGCTGAAGAGCATGGCCACTGCAACTTTTAAATAGCTGGAACATGCTTTTTAATGGAAAGTGAAATATAGTATTGAAAATACACAAATAATAATGTTTAAAAACTGTTTAAGTTGCACCTTAAGTAAGCAATTATTTAGATATTTATTTCTCTGTTCACCTGTATTGAGATAACAATGTCATTTTATTTCTGTTTTCTATATGTAAGATAGAAAAAATAAGGACTTATTTCTGTAAAACCATTTTAACAAACCCTGGAAGATGATGAAATCTGAAGATGGTGTGCACCTGGAAAAAGAACAGAGTATTTTACACAATCAGTCCCTAAATAAATTGCACAGGGACGCAAAGCAACAGTAAAACCAATCTTGTAGAACAGAAATTACTGTCCAAATAAACACTTCCAGATAAATGCTGTCCAAATAAAAACTTCCTGCTTACTTTTAGTAAAAATGGGAACATTTCTTAGGAGATGAGTTTGCTAACTTTTGTTATACTTTAAGTACATTTTTTGGCACTCTCATGTACAATGAGAGACATTCAAACATGTTACTGCAGCTTTCCTGCTCTTATGTACGTGAAGAAATCCAAAGATTTACTTTGTTCATCTTTATCCAAAGCAAGTATAGTAATTTCTTGAAAATAATCTTTTTTTTTTTCATTTGCAGGAAGTCCAGCACAACTGTCAGCTCCATAGGATATCATTTTGTGCCGATGATAAAACTGACAAGAGAATATTTACTTTCATATGCAAAGACTCAGAATCAAATAAGCATCTGTGCTATGTATTTGACAGTGAAAAGTGTGTAAGTATGCAAGACGCTTTAAAAGAATTTGGGCGACTGTTACAGACTTTGGTCTGCTTTGAAATAAAACAGCAATGGTTAATAAAGGCAGATAGCCTGCCTTTTAATTGAAGGGGTCACTTTGATATAATCTTTCATGCCAGTATAGTGTCTTGTAACTTAGATGCATTAATTCAAAGGAGAACCTTTTTCTTCATTGATCTAAGGTGGTTTTCTGGGACAATTCTTCTTACTACCCAGCTCAATATCCTAGGCCAAGCATCTGCAATACTCTCAGAGAACAGATTGCATCCCAGCAAGCTTGAAATGTTTGCACAGCTGTTTTGCAGAGATTGCTGCAACTCCATGGCTGAGAAACCCTCACAGGCTCTTCTGCTGATGTGTCTGCCTCAGATTTTTTTTTTTTTATTTATTTTTAATTGTTTTTTACAGCAAGGTTCCCCCTTCTCTGCCCACACCCCCGCCACGTCTCTCAAGCTTGTTAATGCCGTGATGCACTACCAGAGAATTCATTGCACCAACCACTGACATTCTCTCGTGTCTGAGATAGAACAGGGCAACTGTTCAAAAATGTGCAATAGCAGAAAAAAAAAACAACAACTTTAGGATGAGAAATGAAGAAAATGGTGTCTAGCTGAAACAGGGTCAAATGTGTTTACCCTGGCAGAAAGCAATTAACAAATAACAACACGAGAATCAACACCAAAAATGGATGTTTAGGGGTTTTTTTATATAATCTGGAGTCTCTCTTTTTGTTTTAATCTAAATAGCTGAGATATCATACAAAGGAAATACTAAGGAAATAATTATTTCTTTATTTCTTTTAGAAAAAGATGCATATTCACTTCTATTTGTATGCAATTATGTAGTATTATGTGTTACTTCACAATGTTTCTAATTATTTTGTTGTTCACCTGCATTGCTCCAGTGCCTTCTGTAGATACTGTTCAGAATTGCTATATGCATCTGTTCATTTCTCTTCAAATTTCTATCCTGTGCCTCTTTTTCACACATTCCCATAATTTTAAATTGCCCTTGCAGCCTCTGCACACTAGTACCATTTTTACTCCAATGCACCGTTCCTTCTTCTCTCTAACCTGATATTTCACTTACTATACTTATTTCCTCTGTTTCACTCTTTGTTCATTAGTACTCTCAGATTTCAAAGGATCCCACATCAGTTGGTATTTTTCGTTTCAGCCAAACTTCATCCTTCCAAGAAGACAGGACTGCATACTCCCAGTGTCCATTACACTTTTACTAACATAAACAGTTATTTTCTAAAACAGTCCTAGTTCAGCTTTTTTGATCTAATTCAGTCTAATTTGGTTAAAATAATTCCTTGTATTGTTTGGTTTTTGGTTTTGTTTTTTTAATAAAGGTGCCCGTATGGTTTTTTTCACAGTAAAAAGATAGAGAGCTTAATGGTTTTTTTCCAATTTTTTTGTTGTTCCCCTGCCAAATTGTTTAAAAAAATAAAAAAGTTATTACTTACTGTGTTTACTTTCCTTACTAAAGTTCTATGGCAAATGGTGAATCCATATATTCAGCTTTTATTGGTGCCTTTTGTAAGTCAGCATTTTTTTCTGAAACCTTGGTCTGCTCAGTCATCTTGTATGTGTATTTTTACCCTTGTTATTTTTAAAGTACATTTTCTGTACCAACTGTGTATACACATCATAATATATGATGTGAATCAGCATAGAACTACTAAATTATTATATTTTGCACATACAAATGCAAATTATGTTTGGTCCGATTTTGTAATTGGAAATACTTGCACAGATAAATACATTTCTCTACACTATGCTGATTGAGATTCTATAGGACTTGTAAAAATAAGTGTTGAAATCCAGATTAAAAAGCAATAAGGGTTGAAACATTCATTTACATGAAAACATTAATCCATTAAAACTAAAACAATTTATTTAATGATTGAAAAGCCTGTATTTGCTTCAGAGGTTATCAGAAGAAGACATACTGCAGCATGCTATCTGTATTTTCAGAAATTAGAGGCATAATTTCTATGAAAAATTAGCTAATTGTGTTCTGCCTGTTCAGTCTCCCTTCTTTTCCAAAATATTTTTAAGTTGCTTTTGCAGCATTTTCTGTCAAGATATTTTGCTGAAGAGTGTTTGCCATTCTCCTTTGTAGTGTTGACTTCATGATGGATGCAGCAAACCCTTTCAACGTGATACGTGGTGTAAAGTATTTTGTGATCATCTGAAATGACAGTTATTATATAAAATATTCTTAATATACTAATTTCAATCTTATGTTTTATGTAAAGGCGGAAGAGATAACTTTAACAATTGGTCAAGCATTTGACTTAGCTTACAGGAAATTTCTGGAATCTGGAGGAAAAGACGTTGAAACAAGGAAACAAATTGCAGGGTTACAAAAAAGAGTAAGTTCTCAACTATGTTTTTTAAAGAGATAAAAGAATATGGTACTGTATTTGTGTTACTGCTTCTGTGACAGCATAATTTCCAGCATTATTGTCAGGTTGCTAAGAGTTGCAACAGATACTAAAACAGGAAAACTGAAAAAAGACCTCGTAACTGTGAAACTGTATTTTATGTTTTGCCATCTTGCAAGGCAAGATGTCTTCTTAAAGAGAAAAGCAAGGTTGAAATATGGAAGATACAGAAATTTAGTTATTTTTTGTAATCAGATAACTAGTTAAACATTGCTTCTAAATCACCAGATCTCAGATAAACTTATTCTCAATGGAAGCTCTATTGTTGAAATGAATGAATATCCCAATAGCTGTTGCAATAATCACTTGCTTTGTAGATTCAAGAATTAGAAACTGAAAACACAGAACTGAAAAATAAAGTTCAAGATTTGGAAAACCAGTTAAGAATAACACAAGTACATGCATCTCCAGTAAGTACATGAACATAACTCTTATACCTGAAGTTTAAATTTGTAATCATTGTATTATGATAATTATTAGCATCCATGTTGTTTCCAGTGATTGTGATTAACATACAGTGATCATGTAACATATCTGTTGAAATGCAGTACTGAAGTAACAGTAAGATTGTGACAAGCCAACAAAAGTGCAAATTGCAGTCTGTCACTTTTTGGTTCTTTAATCCCCTTGTCATACCTATTTGTTGCTGCCTAAAGACAGTAAATACTCATTCTAGTAGACATCAAAGCATGCCAGCTAAGGATGAAGAACTGTTCTGCGCTTAAAGGATCGGTACATGAATGCTACTTGGGATTTTTCTAGGAACTTTCTGTCACTAGTATATTGTCATTTACAACTGACATTTTCTAAATGACTTAAAAAATTTGTCTGTCTTTCAAAGGAGTGTTTATGTCTCAGGAGCTAACATTGGGTGGGTAGGTAAAAAGGAGCAAGTGCAGGTTCCTCATCACTGGAAATTTCTAACACTTTCTGCAGTTCCTATAGATACTCATAACAAAAGTATTTTGAAATGATTGACAGTTCTTATATCTAGGCAGGACCTCTAAAAATGCAGGTTGCATTGCAGACTCATCCTAATGGCTCCTCTCTTCTTACAAGTGTACTCTATCTATACAGTATTAGGTAACTGAAAATAAATGAAATTTCTTAATGTGCGTATAGCAAAATCTTAGAAAAAGATGGATTGCTTTTAAGCTGTGCATTTTGGGCCACCTTGTTCCTGCCCTGGATGTGCACCATTTCACTTTAAATGGATGTTTAGAAATTTGGGCAAGGTAAAAGTATGTTTATAATGGCAATGACAGTTTTTCACTAATGTTTATACATTCCCTTGATATTGATTAGATGGTTGTTCCTATGAGGACCTGTCATTTCATTTTATTAGAATCTCTGTAGAGGAGAGAGCACCATAAATTATAAATACTGCGTAACTGCCACAGTGAAAATTGTAAATCATGGATGTCTTCTCATTTATAAAGCATTCAGTGATAGGCAATCAACTTTAATGCTAGATTTAAAATCAATTTAGCCAATTCTTCAATCTTTTCCTCAATTGGGATGGCAGCTAGTTTGTTTTTATTTATGAATATAATACTAAATGTATCTTCGAATTCAATTAAACAGGCTCTTAAGTCTCTTGTGATAGATGCATTTCCTTTCATTTACATTAATGAAGAACTTGGTAATTGCATTTAGCAAAGGACTTAAAAAAAACCATTAATAATGACAAAAAATATCTTGTAGTTTTTATTTTGTCTTTTAAGACAATGGTGTCTCATTTCTTATTAAAGCGTTAAGATCTAAATTTGTAAATTTTCCAGCCGTTTGTAAATTCTCTCCCTAGACGGTATTTTATTGTTAATTACTATTGGTACAATGAATATGCATATTGCCTAAATAGCACTTATGCTACAACAAAATTACATAATCTTGATAATTATTCTTATTAAAATATTAATTCATTTTAATAAATCACAGCCAGATACTAGTTTTTATTGCTGTATTTACTCCTTAATCTTTAAAAAGAAAACCACAAACGTTTCGTGTCATGAATTTCTGAGTTTCCTCATGATTAAAATTGCAGTAAGAGCCATCTAACAGCCTATTTGATATCTAAATTGATTCTACCACAAAATAGATTTATGTAAATGAATAAATATTGGAACAGGTTGTCCAGGGAGGTTGGAGCTGGATATTCAAAATTTACCTGGACGTAGTCTTCAGCAGCTTCAGCAAATTGGATCCTGCTGCAAGCAGGAGTTTGGATTAAGCAGCTTTCCCCCAATATGATTCTTCGATCAGTTGTGCAGGCAACCATCGAACACACACACACATGTTTTTAACAAATTGTCTGTCTCAAATCTAGGAACATAAGTGTATCCACCAAACACTGTCAACTTTTGTACCTTACCAAGAGACATCATTCCAGTAGATCTGTTTTAAACTACAAACTAAACAGTAAAACTGTGGACATTGTAAATTAGAGCTCTTAATTGTGCTAGCGTAAGAGTAAGTACATATAAATAGAACAATTAGGTTGAAAATACATGAAGGAATGGAATAGTGAGGTTATGATGTGACTTCAGTGCAGGGAAAAGGAAGCACAAATATTCTTAAGATAGTTCGAGTCCGATAAAGGGATCATAAGTCAAAGTGCTTTGAATAGCAGTGGATGTGATTTGATGATACCTGTCTCTTCTTTCACTATGTGAGCAACAAATATGTATGAAAGAAGGAAATTCCGAACAATTTATAAGACAATTGATTGCCCGTTATTGTTTGCAATTAATTTTATACACTTTTAATTCAAATCAACTATCATTTCAAGCATAACTTTGCAAAGTCTCAACTCCTGTTAGAAAAAAGCAGAAGTGGGGCATAGAATATTTTCCTCATTTTCACATAATTTCTGTGATGAAAAAGATCACTTTAATTTAAAAAAAAGAAAATAGTAGAGGGGGTATTTTTGGCTGAATTTAAATTTAAAGCTCTTATTTTTTAAAATATCTGTACTTCTGCTGCTCTATATCTTCTAAATTAGAAAAGAAAAAAAAGCAGTTCTATCTTGTCATCATTTTGTCAGATTTTCAAATCTGCTGATAGTATTTTGTTAAACACTAAAATAAAATAGCTTACATAAATGGAGCAGAATGTCCAACATGGGGAATAATACCTCGTCTGAGTCACTTCCTAAGCACTTTTGGTTAGATGGGGAAAAGTTTGCTTCCCTGCAGATATTCTTCATGTTACATGCTATGAACATAACATAATCATTATTGTGATTTAAAACAGATTTATTAAACTATAAATTTTAGGTTTTCTCTCAGCTTTCATATCCATGCTACTGAATTATAAAGAGATGCTAGTGCCATACAAGAGCTTTCTGGAGCTATTTAGACATAAGTGATTTGATTTATTTATATTTAACTAATTTGATACAGCTATAACTCCTTATCTGTCAGTCCAGTTTGATGTTTTTCTGGGTGCTGAGGTCTAGGGAGGGATCGTGTAATGATTGATGGAAAGTTTAAGCCCTGATACTAATATGATAAAAGTACATGTGCAATTAATGGCATCACAGTAATTTGTAAAGAAATGTTTCAGGAGCCAGCTACAGATGGTTATAAAGTTGCTTCTGATTATACTTCAGTAGTATCTTAGATTTTTGTATCTTATGCTTTCCTTTTTTGTATTTGGTTGTTTGCATGCTGTTTGTACTTTCTTGACATTTGCCAGATGCGCTGAAATGGCTTTCCTGTCTTATAGGTTGTTGACTGTGCTCTTCCTTTAGTGATTAATGCATGGTCACAGAAGCGCGTGGTAATCAGCAATTGATTTAGCACTTCAGAAATCAACACTAGCAACTTGTTTAATCAAGTATATACTTAAAGAAGCAGAAGATGTTGCAAGGGCTTGTGATGACAGTTCACAGAACATGACAAATATAAACACTGAAATCATGTTGTGTGCTACGTCCTCTTCTCCTTCGATCCCATCCCTACGGAAGGGGGACCACAAGCAGGCATCATTTCAGGCTGAGAATGGGTGTGTGTGTTCCTTCCCTGTGAGAGAAGACTTAGGCTTTTAAGTACTTATTGCACCTGCAGCGTGAGAAAGTGCTGTTACACACCCTAAGTGATATCACTATCATGCTTTATTTGTTAAAATACTGATCTAGGTCAGAATGTCTTTCCCAGTTGTCAGTAACTGAGAAACCATGGTGTCATTTGTATGCACTGCCAGTCTATCGTTTCTTTACTCCTGCTTCTTCCTTCTGAAGTTGATTGATTTTTGTGTCTTTAATTACTCTAGACACGTTAGTCTTCCCATTAATCTTTAATGAAGTAGGTAGACAATACCTTCAGAAATTTGAAGTTCAGTTCTTTTTTTTATTATTTCGTTGACCCTTGACACTGGTTTTTTGTTGTTTGTTTTTGTTTTGTTTTGTTTTTTAATAAGCCATTTCTGCTTTTTCTGGCAGTGAAGCTAAAGCTGAGGTCTTCTAAGTCCCAGACTATTTTCCCATGAACAGAACCAGATTGCTGTTCTCATTTCAGTATCAAAAAAACAATAGAATCTCAGAGCATCTTTAAACTCTGGATAGATAACTTAATATGTATATAGTTTTAAACATTTAGCTCATTGCATGTTTAAAAAAAAATTAAAATCTAGTCTAAGCATGCTTCAGTTCTAAGTAGATACATCCAGACTGTCATTTAAAATAAACATTTCTAACTTCCTATTGTCATTTAAAATAGGCTTGATAAATAAATACAAAGACATACATAAAGCCATTTGCTAGAATTCATACTCAGGATGAAATGTAATACTATCAAGACTTAAAATTCAGATCCTCTTTTACTTCCAAAATGTTTAAAAAATATTTTGTCTACAGTTTATCAAAGATGGTACTTTATTTATGTGATACTCAAGAACAAATTAGGCGTACCAGGCTGTACTGCAATATGTGACTTTACTGACAGATTTAATTCACTAAAAGAAGTCTGTCATGTGTTTCCATATTGAACTTGTGGGTAATAGTGTAGAACACTGTATTTGCAACACATGGTGCTAAAACATCTTAATCTGCTGATCTCTGACATCAAAATGTGTACAAAGAATATTGCACATGGTGACTTATTCAAAACCCATCAGTGGTCTAACTAAGAGAAGTAAATGCAAGTAGTGAATTGTAAGCTGAAATTTCATTTTAAGCACAAAATTAAAAATATCTTGGAAGATTGATAATTTCACATATGAGAGAATTTTTTCCAGCTGAAACATCTGTTCCTAATTATTTTAATTAAATTCTTTTTTAGGCTATGATAATGAACTGGAGTATTAGGGTGTTTATTGTGAGCCCTCAATTGCTATATTTAAAAGAAAATCCACTCACATATGAAAATTAAAAATAATAATAAAAAAAAAGAGATTACTTTTATCTCTCCAG